CTACCACACCAAATAAAATGCATACCACTTATTTTATTCTCAAAATTTTCAAATACACTTTTATCCATACCAAATAAAATTTATACCATTAAAATTTAGACATTTTAAATCAAAATTGTCTACTTTACACCATAAATTAAAACATCTATTAATAACAACACATTTCATATCAAATAAAAATGATCATCAGATAACTCAAATAAAATCTCCCACTTTATACCAAAATTTTAATAACTAATTTTAGCAACCCTATACCATAAATTGATTAATTACTTTATGGAGGTCGGATTTTTTAAAAGTTAAAAAATAGTTATATTAATCATTTTAGGCGGGATTTTAATTTCTATTTCAGTAAATACAAACCTTTATGTATTTATAGATATATATATATATATATATATTATTTTGAAAATAAAGGAATGTACAATACCATTTACTTTAGGTATCTTGAAGAGCAATTTCATCTTCTTTACGAACAGCAAATCAAACATAAAAAAAAAAAAAAAAAAAAAAAAAATTTGAAGAACACCTCATTCTACGGTCATGCGTGTTGTAGTTTTATCATTTATGCAGTAATTTACACATCATTATGAATGATTTGATAGTTAAATAAACAAATCTGATAATCGTCTACAAGTTTGTAGCTCTCATCGGCAATAAAGGATATAATCAATTTTTAGATAATTGAAATTTGGAAAATGCAAATAGGAATTTAGTAAGAGATGGTAGACCAAGTCAAAAAAATTGGTTTGGATCACATCCTCGGATTTCCTCCATAACATTGTGGCTAAGTAATATTTATTGCAATATATATGGAATATTGCGTCTGTGATATATGGTAATGAAAGAATCTTTATTTATATCGAAATTAATAGTTAAATATGTTTCCATAATAATAACAATTATCCTAAAATATTTTTGAAATTCAAAATTAAAGCACTATTGTCGGGATATTTTCAAAAAAAAATTACCAAGTTTAGTAATTTAAAAAATTTTAGACGGGATTTCATATATTGATACATCTATTAATATATCTCCATGCCAATGACGGATTCTTTTGATAAGTATTTGGGCTTTCCCATCATTGCTGGAAGGCGTAAGGTTTCTCACTTCGATTTCATAATAGAGCGTATTTCGCGGAGGCTTCCCCTGTGGCGTGCTAAATTTCTTAACAAGGCGGGCCGTACTACTCTTGCGCGCTCGGTTCTTTCTACCATTCCGGTTTATTTCATGCAAATTGCATGGTTTCCGGAGAAAACTTGCCAACAAATTGATAGCATCATTAAGAGATTTATTTGGCGGGACCGCGATGTTCGGGGGTTACATCTAGTGAAATGGCAAACAGTGGCTAAGCCGCGTCGCTTGGGGGGCCTTGGCCTTCGTCAAACGCGGCAAATGAACATAGCTATGCTGGGGAAGAAAGTCAGCGAGTTTATCGACGACACTCCTTCTCTTTGGGTGGTTGCTTTGTCCCACCGATTTAGAAGGGGTTACGAGGGGATCAGAAGTTCCAAGACCCAGTCCTCGTCTGTTTGGACTGCATTGAGGAGGTGTTTTTCTGTCATTGCGAACGGTTTCACCTACAGGTTAGGTAATGGGGAGACCAATTTTTGGGAGGGAATTTTTCTTCAAGGTAAACCTATCAATTGTCTTGTCGACTATGTCCATATATCGGATTCTGATAAATCATGCCGTCAGTTGATCGTTAATGGAAGGTTTGAGCTTCAGTCGTTGCAAACGGCCTTCCCAGATCATGTTCTTAAGGCCCTGACGGACGCGAGAAACATTTATCTTCATTTTTCTGTGTCGGATAAATGGTGTTGGTCAGTTGGTAGTCTCGGGAAATACTCTGTGGCTTCTTGCTACGAATGGCTGCTAAATCAGGGCGTAATTATGAAGGCGAAGTGGAAGAAGATTTGGAGAGCAGACATTCCTGAGAAAATAAATTTTTTCTGTTGGCTTATTGGGCATCGCTTGCTTCCTACGATGGAATTGCGTCACCGTAGACATCTTGATTCTACGGGTACGTGTTCGATTTGTGGGGATGGGATGGATAATTGGGTGCATATGTTTTTTGAGTGCTCGTGGACTGCTCCGGTTTGGGCTGGGCTCATTTATCACGGTTTTCCTCATCGGCTGGCTCATACTATTCCGCTCGACAGCCAAGCTTTCGAATTTATTGTTCATGCGCTCACGGGGTTGAGGTTTGCTCTGTGGTTCTTGTGGGTGGAGCGTAATAACAGGGTGTTTGGTAAGCCTTCTAGTTCGCCTCACACTGTTGTCAGGGATATCTTATCTTTCTTTAAATGGTGGCAGGAGACAAGGAGGCGGGCGAACAGGTTAACGAATGGGGCTAGGCGAGATAGTTCTTCTAGAACTGTTACCTGGAACCCTTATTATTGTAAAGGGATGATCTTGCATACTGATGGTTCGTCATTGGGCAATCCAGGCCCGTCCGGCTTCGGAGCTGTTTTGCGTACTCACGAGGGGGCGTGGATCGAGGGGATTTCAGGTAATATAGGGATTGGTGACAATTCTCTTGCCGAAGTGGTCGCGGTTCTTGAAGGGTTAAATTTAGCATTGGCTCGGAGGTGCACAACTCTCACTTGTTACTCCGACTCGCAAGAGGCTCTCCGGCTGATTCAAAGTGCATCCGCAGTTAATCATGTTATGGGTGGGTTGATCATGAACATAAGGGATAAGATTAGTTTGATCGGGAATGTGCGTTTTCTTCACATTTGGAGAGAGGGAAATTCCGTTGCTGATATCTTGGCTAGGAGAGGAGCCAAGGAAGAAGCGTTCTTCACGACTTGGGCGTATCCCCCGGATGACTTACTCACTCCGTTGGCAAAGGATGCAGCTTTGTTTCCTTACATGCGTTTATAGTATTTTTGTATTTTTTGTCGGGTTTTCTGTTCCTTTTGGTTTTCTTTCTTTTTCATTTTCGTTGGCTTAGCTTGTATCGGCGTTGCCGTTCTATTCCAAAAAAAAAACTTAATTCATTTTTAGAAAATCTTTCCCTCCAAATTCATTAATTACACTCTAAAAATAGTAAGTTAACACACTTTCATTAATTATTGCTTAATTATATGCCTCTGTTTTTTCGATTTTTTTTTTTTCTTTTATGATATGGAATGAAAATCCTAATCCATCTCCTATTTTTGTCTCCTTATCAATCACAGAGATAAAAAACTGAAAAAAATGGTAACAAGATTTTTAATTTTCGGTACAATAACAAGAATTATTTTGAAGTTACATATATTCGTTTTTGTTTAAAATATTAGATAGATTTATTTTTGATGAACCAAAATATATAGATACCATAAATATTAATATTGTAATGTAGTGAGATATTCTACATGTTGTGAACTTATATTTCCGAAATCTCATATAATAACTAAAAATTATTTATATATATATATATATATATATATTAGTATTTACGAGAATCTCGAACACACTCTGCCATTCAATTGTCAATCATTAGAAAAACAATTTCTCATACTATTAGCAGAAAAACAAAACGATTATGGACCAACCAATGTGCTTGATCAGATATCTTAAACGCAATAAGAGCACATTATGGACCAACTAATGTGCTTGATCACCATGGTTTTAAATAGCGCGCTATAGCGGCGCTATAGCGCCACTATAGCGGCTCAGATCAGCTAACGCCAAGCTATTGCTGTTTTTGCCGCTATTCGCGCTATTCGCGCTATTTGGCGCTATAGCGGCTCTATTTGACGCTATATAGCGTCAAATAGAGCCGCTATAGCGCCAAATAGCGCGAATAGCACGAATAGCGCGAATAGCGGCAAAAACATCCTGGCGCTACTATGCCATAGCGGCGCTATAGCGCGGCCATAGCGGCGCTATAGCTGCGCTATAGCGTCGAATAGCGGCCAGAAATGCCCGACGCTATTTTCCATAGCCCGCGATCAAAAACCATGTTGATCACCATTTATGAACATACAAAAAATTGGGAAATCCATAGTAAGTGCCAAACAAAAAATGGACCAACTTTTCGTTCTTATCAAAGATGTTGAAAGTACAAAGAGAGTTATGTTGCAACTTCTGAAAATCTGAAAAGAATTAGAGGAAGAAGATGTTTATGCAATTTGCAACTACAAAGTGGAAAGAAATCTTAGTGAATATGGATCTGCAATTATCAAATACAAAATAATTTTGCATAGAAAAACAAAAACCATAGCCAACCCAACCTATTTCTCTATTTTCCGTTTTGATTTTTGAAATTTTGCAACATTTTGTGATGTGGAAAATGTCGATGAGTCTTCACTTTTCGATAAGAATAACTTTCGAATATATTCATTATCATATCTAACAATGATTAAATAAATATGTTATTTCTTATGAATGTAGATGTCATTGGGTTGGTAGTAGAAATTCAACAAGTGCAATTCAAGCAAGTTGCACGACAACATACCCAAATGATTGACTTTACTCTTCTCGATTTGGAGTAAGTATTTGCATAAAGGTATTTAATTGTTATATACATTTAAGAAAAATTTATTAGTTTGAAATTATTATTTTATCTATTATAGGGACAATACTATTAGTTTTGAGAGTCGTTATAAAGGCAAAGACTATCCATGAGTTCTCATATTGTAGCTTAGTAGAGCAAGATTGTGTGGTGGTAGTATTAAAAAATTAAAGTATTATAAATTTTGATATTTTTTAATTTTGCTTTTTTATATATAATAATTTGGTGAAGCAAGACTGTGGGTTGGTTGTATTAAAAACCAATAATGTTATGTACAAAGAGGTAATAATGTATGACTTTTTTATGACGAATATTTTAGATCAAGTGACAAATGCTCTACGTATTATACGTTATTGATTAATAACCTTCAATTTATAAATTTTACCAACACAAATACAGCCCGTGCATCGCACGGGTTACATGCTAGTCTATACTTATATAAACAGTTATCCTATTTACTAAAATTAGTAGCAAAAAATAGACTAGCATTTAATGCAATCCATACAATAGTAGTTTTATAATTTTTCTTATTTTTTATTTAAAAATCATACAATTTAATTTATAAATACGCTTTAATATAATCATACAATTTATAAAAAATTATACTACAATTTATTTTTTTCTTAAAAAATATGCTATATATATGGTACTTTTTGTAATAAATTTGAATAAAATGTGTTATTTAAATATATAAACAATTTAAAAATTCAAATGTTCAAATTAATTGATAAACAATTTATAAATCTCTATTTTATTTAATTTTATTTAAAAGAATTTTAAATATAATAAATTTATTTAGAAAATCGTATCGATCCTACCAATTCAACCGACTGTGTTGACGGATTCAATAGCAAATATTTTATTCAAGTGAACTAGACTAATTATAAACTGGTTCTCGGTCCATCCGGTCGGACTGTATCCAACACGGTTTAATTTTACAACGATGAGTAAATCTTGATTCATTTATTTGTATATTTAATTATAATACAATCGTAATATTGTTTTCCCGTGCATCGCACGGGCCACGAGCACTAGTAAATTAATGAAATGGAACATGACCTTTCGGAACTTGGTAAACAGTTTCCAAAACTGCTCTTGGTATTTTGCTGCTGCTCTTTATCCCAGTTTGGTATAACTATTGCATGATCCAAATTAACAACCAAATTAGAAAATACCAAAGTTATACAACCAAATATTTATCTTCTCCTTGTATAAAGGGGCAGAATCAATTGCAATGTTTTTCTAAGAATAAATGTAAATTCAGTGAGGCAACAACAAATTAAAAGCAAATGAATCAAACTGTCTAACATTGCATACATACACATCGTAATTAGCCGGAGCAGCAGCCCGTGTTTTTTACAGCCGAGACATCGTCTTTATTCCCGATATTAATGGTTTGTCCCTTGGGCAGAGCGGACGGGTCGTCCCCAATATCGAGCGCCTTTCGGCTGACGACATGATAGATTTGAGTCAATACCTCGGTGAAAGCCTTGTCGACGTTGATGGCCTCGAGGGCCGAGGTCTCCATGAAAAATATGTTCTCTCTAACCGCGAAAGCCTTGGCCTTCTCCATGGGCACGGCTCGCAGGTGGCGAAGGTCGGCTTTATTACCGACCAGCATTATCACGATGTTGGAGTCCGTGTGGCCCCGCAGCTCTTTCAGCCACCGCTCCACGTTTTCAAAGGTCACGTTGCGCGTCACATCGTACACCAGTAACGCCCCGACCGCTCCTCTGTAGTAAGCGCTCGTGATGGCACGATACCTATTGGTAATTGGTGTTGGGTATGGTTCAACACAAATACATAAATAAATTTCTCTAATCTTGTCATGCTATTAGACGTGTCCAAAGGTCGGGTCGATTCACGACCCGGCACGGCCGGACGGGTCGGCGGGCCTCAAGCCCGGAACCAGCCCGGCTATATCTAAGGGCCTCAAATGCTGGGCCTCAAATGAACCGGCCGACCCGACGGTTCGTTGAACCGTCGGTTTTTATTTAAAAAACATGAAAAATAAAATAAAATCAACTATGACCCGTCTTCTGACCCAGAACCGGCCCTTAAGGGCTAAGGGTCCGGTTCAAAAACCGGTAAATCCGGGCCGAGTCGACCCTTGGCCATGTCTGCATGCTATATAATTCCCCAAATCAAAACCGAAAAAATTACGTTGTGTTATATGTGCAATGACAAAATTACCTTTCCTGGCCAGCGGTATCCCAAATCTGGGCCTTGACAACCTTGTCGTCGACGTGAATGGATCGCGTGGCGAACTCGACGCCGATGGTAGATTTGCACTGCTGGCTAAACTCATTTTTCGTGAATCGAGACAGCAGATTTGATTTTCCGACGCCGGAATCACCTATCAGCACCACCTTGAACAGGTAATCATAATCCTCATCGGCTCTATATGTTCCCATTTGTTAGTTTTTCTTCAGATCTTTTTGCCCCCTGATCCTGTTTATTATTATTATTGTTGTTTTTTTTATCGTTTGGATTACGATTGCTGCATCTTATTCGCAAGTGTTATTGTTCATCAGCTTTTTGCTGACATGAGGGGGGGCTTATTTTATGTTTTGTTGTTGTTGTTTTGAAAGCACGAAAATGATTTGTTAGCTTCATTTTTCTTTCCTCTTCCCACCATATATTTAGGACGACTATTAATAGCAATAATTTGTCTCGATTCTTCTCAGCTCACATCTGTTTATCCATATATTAATAATTGAACATTTACTAAAAATAGTTTACAAATTCGGGCCAAAATTTGTTATTTTTATACTCTTTCTAATTCTCTATATTTTCTTCTCCTCGTAACATGTTTTTAATTTTACTTAGTACTCTTTATTAATTATCGAAAAATTCAAGTTAAATTCTGAGTGCCCTTTTCAACTTCCAAATCAGTCTCCAGTCTAATATTATTCCTCTGCACCCTCTTTCCCTAATTTATTCTTTTCATTTCACTCCCTATATATAAACCAAGGTTATTATTATTCATTTATTTTTTTGCCTTTAATTCATTTTTAAGTCTCTTTCTATCTCCTGCCGCTCTCTTCTCTCGACATCCATCTCTGCTCTCTCTCTCTTCGTTTTTTCAGCATCGCCATCGCCATCTCTGCTCTCTCTCTCTCTCTGTTCGTCGCCATCTCTGTTTGTTCATCAGCGTCGCCAGCCATCTTCGTCTCTCTCTCTCTCTCACTCGCCCGCCATATTCGTCTCTCTCTCTCTCATCAGCAATGGCCGGCTCGAACAAGAAATCTCCATGCAAACCGTCCTACTCGACACCCACGAAGGCATTACCAAGCTCAATGGTAATTTCTGATTTTTGGCCTCTGTTCCTAATTTTAGGGTTTTTTTTTCAATTTAGGGGTTGAATTCGAAAATTAGGGTTTTTTTCAATTTAGGGCTTGAATTTGAAATTAGGGCCTTTGTATGTAATTGAATTTTTGTGAATTTATGTGAATTCGAAATGATTGAATTTCTATTAATTTCTGTGAATATGTGTGAATTCAAAAATTAGGTTTTTTTTTTCAATTTAGGGCTCGAATTCGAAATTATGGTCGTTCTGTGTAATTGATTTTTTGTGAATTTCTCTGAATTCGAAATTATTGAATTTCTGTGAATTTTTGTGAATTTCTATGAATTAGGGCTTTTCTGTTAATTTTTGTGAATTCTGTGAATTAGGATTTTTTTGTGAATTTCTGTGAATTCAAAATTATTGAATGTCTGAATATCTGTGAATTTCTGTGAATTCAAAACTAAGACTGTAATTGAATTTCTGTAATTAAATTTTTCTGTTTCTTATGTTTGAAAATTCTCTTTGTTTGTCATAGGGCACCGAACTAAGATGCAGGTGCGCCCCATCATATTTCGAAGATGTGATGGATAGAACTACTGTTGTGCTCTCGGACAAGCACAAAGAGGCTCTTCAACGGAGCCCTTTTTATTTTTTTGTCAATATGCTCGATGTAGTTGTTCTGCATAGTAGAGTCGAGGCCCTGGTTAGCACATATAGGGTAGACTTGAATGCATTTGTTGTTGGTGATAATTTGCTTCTTGATTTCGACCTCGCCGAGTTTTGTATAACTTTGGGGCTACGACTGTACGACATGGGGGACTAAGCATAGACTTAAACCTTTCTTTAGATTCGAAAGCCCTATTCGATGGCTGGGGTCGAGTAGGTAAAAAACTTTTGAAAAGAAAGCATGTCGTAGATTTGTTAGAAAAGTTTGTTGTTGATGAAGGTCGTGTAGATGACTTCATTAGGATGTATAGTTTGTTAGTTTTTAGTTGCATTTTGTTTCCTTGCTCTAGTTACTCGATCCTCATGTTTGTTTACCATTACTTGGAGGATGTGAGCCGAATATGTGAGTACGCATGGGGAGATGCGACTCATAAATTCTTGCTTGCAGATCTTGTTCTCCATGGTGAATCTAGAGACCGAGCTTACTCTGACGGATGTGTCGTTGGGCTGATGGTATGTATATATGTGTTTCATTGTCTTAATACAATAATATTAATTTTTTAGATTGTGTAATTTTGACAACATGTGTATGTGTGCAGGCTTGGTTTTACGAGCGTGCCGTAATGTTCACCACTATGCACATGAACAATAATAAGGTACGTAAAAGTAAATGGCATGGTCGCAGCATGACACAAAACAATTAATTATCTTATCTCTTATCCCCGAGTCAACTCTCACGTGCATACCTATTGTAATAGACTACTGTCGACTATATATAGAGTCTCACTTCGTTCTCCTCTTTCCTCAATTTAGTGTTCAGTGAGTGCTCTTGGAGTAGTGGTTTGGTTGAACCTACGTGCCTATGACTTCATTTCTCAGGAAATTCGCGCAGCGGAAGATCCGGAATTTGAGGGCAACAACTGGTGACAGAGCTAGGAAATAGAAAGATGGGTCCCCTCTGGGCAAACGTTTCACGCTCGAGGCGATTACATGTCTATTTCGATAGACGGGGAGCACAAAGCAATCTACATTTGAAGGGTCTTTACAAACCCTTAAAGAAATAATGAGGCATAAGGTAATTTATATAATTTTATAGTAATATGTGTTTTCTACTTCTTCTTTTTATCTTTTTGGTTAATCGATTTTGTACCTAAATAATTATGATTTTCTTTGCAGGTGTATTCGGTATTGCCTTTTTTAGAGGAGCGTGTGTTTGTTGAAACCCAGGTTTTCCTTTAATTTTTGTCGAGAATTTTTGTGTTAGCATTAGTATATTTTCATAGGTACAAGTATCCTTAATTTTATGTTTTCCTTTAATTTTTTTGTTTTCTTTCATGTACGTCCGTTTGAGAGCTAGTTGTTTGCCATGGTTTGTCTTGAGAACGACAAAATTAGAAAAAAAATTGAACTGTTGGAAAGAAATAATGAAAAAAAAAAGAAAAAGAGGAAAGAAGTCAGAAAGAGGAGGTTGCGGATGGTTTTGATGGTTTTTGTGAGACTGAGAAAAAAGATGAGGAGAAAGAGGAAGAAGAGAAAGAAAAAGAGGGGTAAAAGATGAGGAGGAGGGGGGAAAGGAGGAGGAGGAGGAGGAGGAGGAGGAGGAGGAGGGAAAATGAGGGGGGGAAAGAGGAGGAGTGAAGATGGGCTTTGATGGTAGTTGAAAACAAAGTTGTTGTGAACGAGTTTGAAGATTTAGACTGACTCATAGACCTGGAAGTTGAGTCTGCTGGTTTGATGAGAGGGGTGGATTCAAAAGAGTTGTCGGATGATCCGCACCAGGATGCTCTGAGATCGAGCCGACAACTGAAGAAAGCACAACCCTCTTCAATGGTGAAGAGGGTGCGGGAGAGGGTTGGCAGGAAGAAAAAGGAGAAGGCGGCTGATTTTATGGACCCTCAGTCATCCGGTCCAAAGAGGTAAAAGAAAGAAAAAAAATTGCAGTTGGTGAGCTTGAGTGGTGATGAGGTAATTAAAGTAGCAATTTTATTTTTGTAATTTATGTCATTGTTCGTGTTGTTTTCATATAACTAACCAATTATTTTATAATGTAGGAGGCTGACAAGGATGACATCGATCATGATTCTTCCCTGAATAAATATAGGGGCATAGATTATTTTTGTGGACAAGATGTCCAGGAAGAGGAGGCTGCAACCATCCGGGATTTCCTAGCAAGCGATGACTTGAGATACCCGAAATTACTTTAATTACTTTAATTTCTGTTATATTGTACTAATTAAAATTACAATTTTTTTGTAGCAAAAGTGTGTGGAGCAATGACCACATTTTGGTCCGAGGCAAATAGATATGTGCACTTATGTTCGGGAACGAGTTGGATTCTCAACTCGTTGATTGCTATATGGAGATCCTACGTGGCGCCCATCCTCATGTCCACTATTTGCCGACCTATGTGTACGTACTTATTTTAATGTACTCTATTAACTATTAGTTATTGTTAATTTGCTAAAAGAATTATTGAATTTGTAGTGTGATTTGGTGAGTGCTATTCGAAGAATGAAGAAAAGTACCAGTTGGAAGGACGAAGATTATGATGTGTACTTCTAGTCTTACTAGAAGTATTGTTGCCTTGGTTGATGAGCTGCTGAGGTTGTTGAGGTCCTCCGGTAGGGTTAAATATGTTTTCTTTCCGATGTTGGGTGAGTTTTCACTTCTTTTTACTTGTGTTCAACATTGAAGAAATGAAGTTTCTATACCATAACTCCATGGATAATCCGAAGTACCGAGGAACTGGGAAAACTTTGGTAAGTCTTATTATGACATTTTAAACTTTGTTTTGTAGTTAAATAATTCTCTTTCTAATAAGATACGCATGTACTTTTTTGCTTTTTATTTATTTATTTATTTATTTATTTATTTTTTGCAGGCCAAGTTCATGGCAGGTTATCTGAAAGTGAAACTTCGATGGCGCATTCCTTTCAAAGATTGTTTTCACTTTGGATACCAGAGGCCGCAGGTTGGTGTGAAGGACTGTGGTGTGCATGTGTGCATGCAGATGGAGTCCTACGAAGTCGATGCGCCTGAATTTTGGAGTGCCATACATAGTTTTCGATTGATCTCTATCGAGCACGCATGGCAGCACGCATCCTCAGAATCCTTCGTCTTGACACGGTTTGGCTTATGTTGTGAACAATATGTTTGATTGTAATTGTTTGGGTTGTCTTTGAAAAATAGGTGTTATGAATGGTTTTGGATGGTGGTTTTGAACAATGTGTACTGTTTGGATGGTGGTTTTGTTTATGATGGTTTTGGAATATGGTTTATGGATGAAACGGAACAAATGATATGATTTTATTTTTTTTTTAAGTGTTACCAGTTTTTCCTCACATAAGTACCAACATTATGCGATATTAGTACTCATTTTCCGGTGTTGTGTACCTACTTTGTAGAAAGGAAAAAAAATGTGCAAGTTCTTTAATGGTACCTGTTTTCAGCAGAATAGTA